ATTTTATTGAAATATAATTCATGTACGGTAAAATACACAAAAGTAAATAGACAGCGGTCAGTGATTTTTTGGGCGGAGGGTATATGTGGTATTCTCTCCCCTCCACTCCCATTCCTGGTAACCAACAAAGAAAATTTCATTCCATATATAAATCTTTCCTTGACTTTCTACAATAATGAACTAATAGTATATTTGTCCTTCTGTGATTGTGACTTACTTCACTCAGTATAATGTCCTCCAGGTTCATCCATGTTATACAGTGTTTTGCAGATTCTACATTTTTCTTCAGCGTTGCATAGTATTCCATTGTGTATATGTATTGTAGTTTGGTTGTCCATTCTTCTGTTAATAGGCACGTAAGTTGTTTCCATCTTTTTGCTATTGTATATAGTGCTGCGATGAACATGGGTGTGCATATATCTGTTCTTGTCTGGCCTTCACTTCTTTAGGGATTGTTGGGTCAAATGCTATTTCTAATTGCAGCTTTTTAAAGACTTGCCATACTGTTTTCCACAGTGGTTGTACTATTTTACAGTCCCACCAGCAGTGTAGGAGAGTCCCAATCTCTACATCCTCATCAGCATTTGTTATTTTCTGTCTTGTTGAACTTTGCCATTAGTGCTGTGTTGAGATGATATCTCATTGTTTTGATTTGCATCTCTGATGGCTAATGATTGTGAACATTTCTTATTGTATTTGCTGGTATGAATTTATTGCTGTCATTTTCTTATGTGCTTTTTCGTGGTGCTCCTGATTTCTTTGTTCCATATAATTTTCTGTGTTGAGCTCTTTTTTGTTGATGAATCATGTTATCACTTCGTTGCTGTTGTTTTTTTAGTGTTTGCTAAATACTTGTGCTGGTCCTTTTTTTTATTTTGCTGAAGGTTTATCATTTCTCTTTGAGGTTACTCTGTGATTTATAATTTTCTTCCCAAGTTTAAAACAGTCTCTTCTGTCTTGCACTTGTCTTGACTATACCATTTAGAAGTTCTGTAACTACACAGTTTTTTCTCTCTTTTGGTTTGTAGGTGTCTTCATTCGTCAATTGATGTCTCTGGTTCCCTGTTTACAATCTTGTAGGCTTATTTACTTTGGATACGTCCATAACTGGGTTGGTTTCTGGGTTATGTCATCAAGTGTGTTAATGGTCAGTGGGTGTTTGCTGTTGTTGGTTCTCTGTCCAGAGGACTCCCTTTAGCATGTCTTGTAAGGTTGGTCTGGTTTTAACAAATTCCCTTAATTTCTGTTTATCTGGAAATGTCCTAATTTCACCATCATATTTGAGGGACAGTTTTTCTGGGTATATAATTCTTAGCTGGAAATGTTTCTCTTTCAAGGTTTTATATATATACTACCTATTGTCTTCTGACCTGCATGGTTTCTGCCGAGAAATCTGAGCTTAGTCTTATTGGTTGTCCCTTGTAGGTAACTTTTCGTTTTTCTCATGCTGCTTCCAAGATACTTTCTTTGTCTTTGGTTTTGGTGAGTTTGATGATGATATGTCTTGGTGATTTTCTTTTGGGGTCTATCCTCTTTGGGGTTCATTAGACTTCTTGAATGGATATATTCTTGTCTTTCATCATACCATGGAAATTCTCTTCTAGCAAGTCTTAGACAATTTTCTCTATGGTTTTATTTGTCTCTTCCTGTTATGGAATTCCAATTACACATATCTTTCTTCATTTTGTTTTGATCTTTTATCTGATTGAACTCTTTCCAAAGAAGTGTTCAGGTATTTGTCTCCAGTCTCACTAATTCTGTCTCCATTGATTAAATTCTACTCCTTTGCCCTTTCAATGCATTATCTATTTCTGAAAATTTAGTATTGATCATCTGGATTTCTGTCTGTAGATTTTGTATCATTTCTAATTTTTCATTTATTTTGTCATTTTGTTCTTGTATTATCTTTTGAAATTGTTCTAGGGTTTTCTGTGTGTTTTCCTCAATTCTGTAGGTATTTTCCTTGATCTCTCAATTGGTTGAAGGTACCTAAATATAATTTTTTTTTAAATTGTGATTTGGGTAAAAGTTTAAAAATTCACTTTCCATACAGTAGTTCACACACACGTTGCCCCATGACATTGACTACAGTTTACCCCAAATGCAACAGCTCCCCTCCCACTTCCTCCCGATAGTTACCACTTCCCTGTGTTCACCCCTCCATACACTCCTGCCCCCTGAACTGTCTCCCTGTGCATAAGCAGACCTTCTTTCTCCCATGATTTGTTCTCTCCAAGGAGTGTATCTACATCAGGTAAATGTTCAACTCATACGTCTGTGATTTGTTTGGCTGGAAGCCACAGGTGTGGGTTCAATTCCAGACCTGAAGGGCAGCTAGAGACCATAGTCTCAGGGGTTCCACCAGGCTCTGTCAGACCAACAAACCATATAATTCCTTTGAATTCCTTATCAGGGAGTTCCAGTGCTGCTGCTTCCTCAGGGATGTGTTCTGGGTCTGTATCCTGGTCATTTGTTTCTCCTGCTTTATCTCGCTTCTTTTTGTGGACTGTGATGCTCTGTTGTCTCTTGGGCATTGTGATGTTTTTGTGTTTATGTTTAATTGGTGATTGTATGTTGGAGTGACTTGTCCATGATTTTCATTTTCTTTGGATTCTATCTAAGCAAGCAGGGAACTGTGTTCTCTGTTCCCTAGTTGGCAGCACTTACACACTCACCACCTGTCTCCTTTCGCGTTGTCAGCCTCCCATACATTTCTGCTGTCCTTGGCAAACAGAGCCTATTCTTAGGTCCCTGGAATCTGAAAAGCCAATATGGCCGCCATGTATAAACAATCAAAATGGCTGTGCCCTTCGAACAGCCGAAAGTCCACAGCTCAGGTGTCTCTGTCCTTGCTGTTTCTCTTCCTAGTCATCGGCCACCAGCACAGTCATCCCTGTAGCCCTTGGCGACCAGGCTGATCTTTAGGTCAATTATCAGGTCCCAACACCACTTGGAAGTATTCAGGCTGTTGGTCCCATCAGAGTAGCTGACATTCTGCTGCTCTGACTCTCTCCGTACTCACTGTTTTTATTCAGGTTTTTCCACTGATTGGTGCAGAATCCAATTCTGTATACTTATTTTCAAAGCTTAGGGCTCCAGGATTATCTTCTGTATCTCTATCAATTGATTTTTCTTTTCTTTGTTGAAGAGGGTCTGTGTAGCTTGTCTGCCTAATCTGCCATCTTACCAGAAGTCCTTGAGGCTGTAAATGTTTTCAGAAGTTGATCACCCCATCTTCCTTCTGTGGAGTGGCTGGTGGGTTTGAACCGCTGCTGTTCTGGTTAGCAGTCAAGTGCCTTATCTACTACACCTCCAGCGTGCAAGCACTGTTATATTTGATTAGCATCTTAGGAATTGTAAATAAATTCCATGTATGTTGTTATATTAACCTTCATATAAGTCTTGTGAAAATTGACAAAGCAGGGTTGCAAATCCTAAATGATAAGTTTTATGTGCAGGTTCCATTTAAAAAAGAACCATTTCAGTCACAATAGTATCAAGAAGAATAAAGTACTTAGGAATAAATTTACCAAGAGACGTGTAAAATGTATACCCTGAAAGCTAAAAAAACATCGGCAAAATGAAATTAAAAGGTTCTAAATAAATGGAAAAACATCCCGTGTTCTCATGGCTTGGAAGATTAAACATTGTTAAGATGACAAAACTGAGTAGATTCAATGCAGCCCCTAATAGAATCCAAGATAATGTATTTTTTTAAGTCAAGCTTGATTCTAAACTGACAAACTGATTCTAAAATGTGTGTGAAATTACAAGGGACCCAGAATAGCTAATTCTGGAATAAAGTAACACAGAAGAACACACACTTCCTAACTTCATAATTCACTACAAAACAACATAATCAAGTATACTACTGTTTATTGAGGTACTATTCACAACAGCCAAATGGTAGAACAAGGCTACATGTCCATAAACAGATGAGTGGATAAAAAAATGTAGCACATAACATACAGTGGAATGTAACTCCACCATAAAGAGAAATGAACTTGGTACTTGGTACAACATACACAAACCTTGAAAATAGCATCTTGAGTGAAGTCAGTCATAAAGGACACATATTATATAATCCCAGTCAAATGAAATATCTAAAATAAGCATATTTATAGAAATTTAAGTTTATTAGTGGTTATCAAGGATGTTTGAGAAGGAGGGAGAGGAAGGCTCTCATTACTTAAGGGGCATTAACTATTTGTTAAGGGTGTTAGGAAAATTTTGGAAACATTGATGGTTGTACTTGATCATCATAATTGCACTGAATTATATGTGTAAAAAATGTTGAAATGATAACTGTTTTGTTACAAGGTGTAGACTCACCTAGCAAAAAGTAATTTGGTCTTTGATCTTAGTTCCTGAGATATCCCTGAGGGTGTTACTTTTTGCCCGGTTGGGCTAAGGATCCTCACTTGGTAATTGAGGAGCCAGTCCAGTAATTAATTGACAAGGAGAACAAGGCTGGCTTATGTAAAGGGACAAAATTAAGAGATATTTTGGGGGCCTTCTTGACTGAGAGCTGCTAGGTATGGCATGTCCATTAGGACACAGAGGCTTAGCTTGGAAAATCCTCCCAGACCTGGGTAAAAGAGTTACATGTATATATTATGCTTAGAGCTGTTCAGGGACAGTAGCTAGGCTGGTGGCAGTAGCAGCAGAGACACAGGGAACAGGGCCTGGATGAAGGCAGTAGAGTGTAAAGGCTGAACCTTAGCAGAGAGTTGTTAACACTGATAGCTGTGGGCACTGAAGGGGCCAGGCAGAGTAGTGTATCTTTCCTGAGCTATATGGTGGTGGCAGCTGTGACAGAATCAGTGGCTGCAACAGCTCCAGAAAGTAAAGCTGAACTAGCCCTTGACAGAGGCATATGCTATTAAAGCACACATAAATGCCATGCCTCACCACCCTTTTTTTTTTTGTTTCCCATTTTAACAAAACTTGAGAATAGTGTAGTAAAGCTGAAAATGAAGCCAAAATTCTTTAGGTGAATCAGGCTTTCACTATCAGGTGTGAAATGGACATTTCGAAAGATGTCTGTGAAATGTACAGGAATAAGAGGTCTTAGCTATACTGTAGTATTTTAAGATTTGGAGAAAATTGGTTGGAAAAGAATTGTTAAGTCATTTGACTGGAGGTACAAAATATATAATCTAGTTTTAGCTATGAAAGGGAAAGGAAACCACTTCCTGTTTGCGGTAATATATAAATGGATTTTCCACAGTCAGTATGGCGAAAACCTGTGAATGAGGGTTTTAAAAATGGTAACTAAAATAAGAATATACATTTAAGCTCTTACAAGGAAAAATAATACAGATAATTCATTTTAATGTATTGGTACTGTATAATTTTAAAACTTGTTCCTTTGTATACATTAAAAAACAAAGAAACCCCATTGCTGTTGAGTTGATTGCGACTCATGGCTACCCCATATGTATACATATCCCAAACTAAACCTATTGCCATTGAGTCACTTCTGACTCAGCTATTCTACAGGTCAGGCTAGAGCTGCCCATTAGGTTTCCAAGGTTATAGAAACCTAATGGTGTTGGCAAAGAACTAGGATGGCAAGATTTTGCCTCTCGTACTCTGGTCATGTTATCAGGAGGGACCAGTCCCTGGAGGAGGATTATCATGCTTGATAAAGTAGAGGATTAGTGAAAAAGAGGAAGACCCTCAACCTGATGGATTGACATAGTGGCTATAGCAGTAGGCTCAGGCATGGTAACGATTGTGAGGATGGCACAGGATTGGGCATTGTTTTCTTCTGGTGTACTTAAGGCCACTATGAATCAGAACCTACTCTTTGGCACCTAACAACAACAACATATGGAAGCAGACTGCTTCCATCTTTCTCCTGCAGAGTGGCCGCTGGGTTCAAACCTTTCAGTTCGCAGCTGAGCACTGAACGATTGTGCCACCAGGACTCTCTGTGTATACATTAAAAAAACCCAAAACCAGACCTACTGCCATTGAGTCGTTTGTAGCTCATAGTGATCCCCATTGGCTTCTAAGGCTGTAAATCTTTATGGAAGTAGATTGTTTTGTCTTCCAGAGAAGCTGGTAGGTTTGAACTGCCGACCTGGTTAACAACCAAATGCCTTACCCACTATGCTACCAGAGCTCTTTATCTGTGTACATAGCAGATACTTAATGTTTATTCTTAGTTCCTAGGAATTCATGATTCTGTATTGAATATTTGTCCAGCGATAATCCAAAAAGATAATATATTTCAAGAAAGAACTAATTCATCATGAGATACCACTTCACAACCAGTAGGATGGCTATAATTAAAAAAGAAAAATATTTAGTGAGGATGCAGAGAAATTGATATCTTCATACATTGCTAGTAGGAATGTAAAGTGGTGCATCTGCTGTGGAAAACAGTTTGATGGTTCCTCAATTAGTTAAGCAAAGAGTTACTATATAACTCAGCACTTCCACTCCTAGGTATATCCCTCCAAAAATTGAAAACAGGTATTCAAACATACTTACACACCACGTTTGTAGCAGTAGTATTCATAATAAGCTAAAGGGTAGAAACATTAATCCATATGTCTATTAGCAGATGAATGGGTAAACAAAATGTAGTGTATTCATACTATGGAATTTATTTCGCTATTAAAAGACATGAAGAACCAATAGCATGGTAAAATGTGGATAAACTTTGAAAACATGCTATGGGAAAGAACTCGGACACATAAGGCCACATCTTATAACTATATGAACTATTCAGGATAGGAAAATCTTAGAAACATAAAACTGATGAGTGGTTGCTAGGGGCTGGGGAAAGGTGAATGAGGAATGTGTGCTTAGTAGACATGGGGTTTCCCTTTGGGTGATGGAACAGCTTCTGAAACTAGATGGTGGCACAGTATTGTGCATGTGCTTAATGCAACTGAATTCTTCAAAAATGGTAAAAGTGGTAACTTTCATATCTATTTTACCACAATTTTAAAAAAATTTCTAAAAGGACCCTTATTTGGGTGTGTATGTGTGTTTAGATATTATAAGAAATTTTAGGAGCGCTTTTACTATTTATATGGGAGCTCTGATGGCCTAGTGCCTAAGGCATTTGACTGCTAACCGGAGGGCTAGTGGTTCAAACTCACCAGCCACTCCTTGGAAGGAAGATTGGGCAATCTACTTCTGTAGTGATACTGCCTAAGAAACCCAAGGAATGAGTTGGCAAAAACTATGAGTTGGACTAAAAACTATGAATCCACTATGAGTTGGACCTGACTTGAAGGCAGTGTGTTTGTTTGTTTTGGTTTACTGTGTATACATGAATTCCTTGCACCCAGTATCTAATACTCATTGAACTTCATTCTCGGGGGAGCCAGGTTATTTTAGCATTTCCCAAGTGGTAATATGCAAGATGATTTTAGGCGATGTGGACACAGTTGAAAGGAAGATAAGCCAAAATACATATGATTTAAATAAAAATATATAATAAATCATCACATAGATGAGAAGTAAATATGGCTAAATTCATGATGATTGTTTTCAAATGAATGAAATTGCTGAATACTGAGTAATCTCAAATTCAGGTTTTTCTGGTTAACTGCAGTTAAATCATGATTACCAAGTAAATGCTTTATGAACTGGTGATTTGAGAAGGAGAGTAGAGAATTGATTTGAACTTTTGATCTTTTATTTGCTATCAGCGAAAACGGATTCTAAAATGGAAGAAAAAGAAAAACGACGAATTGAGGCTCGGCGAGAAAAACAAAGGCGCAGAAGAGAAAAAAATAATGAGAAATATGGAGATGGATACAGGTTTGTGATGATTTGAATCAGAAAATTAGGCTTATTGAAAACTAAGATGTGTCCTACAAAAGGTAGTTTCTTTTTTGAGTCTTTGGTTTCCTTCTTCCTCTTTTATTCTGGAGGAGCAGAGACCCAATAATTGTACCTTAGAGGGCTGCTCTCACACTTTTAAGACTCCAGACGCTACTTACCAAACTAGGACGTAGAACATAACTTTTTAAAACTATTTTATGCCATTTGACTGAGAAGTCCCCATAGGGTTTGCAGTGACTTTTTTTTTTTAAACAGTATGTTGCTAGGTCTTTCTTCCTAGGCACCTGTGGGTGCACTCAAACCTGCAATTTTTGGGTTAGCATTATTTGCACAACTCAGGGACTCCAAAGATATAGGAATGCTTTGAAATTTGATATTTATATGCAGTCACCAGAAATCCTGTTCATAATGGTAATCCAAAATATGAAATACCCAAATAAAAGTATTCTTAAATAGAAATGAAGAAAACTATAGCCTTGAGTAATTTGGCTATATAGAGATAAAGTGATAATCTTGAGTAGGAACACTAAATGCTATAAAAATTTCAGTTCTTCCTATTTCAGATCCCAAAGAAAACTCAGGAAAAGAAGAGTAAATGCAGAGTAAGACAAAAATCGTTTAAAAAAGGGGGTGAGGGGTGGGAGACCAGGTTTGCTGGTCTAATAGAGCCTGATGGAATCCCTGAGACTGTGGCCCCTAGCTGTCCTTCAGGTCTGGAATTGAACCCATTCCTGTGGCTTCCAGCCCAAGGCAGGGATATGAGCTGAAGATTTATATCAGGTAGATACATTCCTTGGAGAGCTCAATCCTGGAAGAATAGAAGGATTGTGTATGCACAAGGAGACAGCTCAGGGGGTAGGAGTGTCTGGAGGGAAGGATACAATGAAGAAGTAACTATGGGGAGAAAGTGGGAGGGGAGTTGTTGCATTGTGGGAGATTGTAGTCAATGTCAAGAGAATATGTATGTGAATTGCTATATGGAAAGTGAATTTGCTCTACACTTTTACCCAAGTCACTATAAAAATTTAAAAATAAATAAATAGGCACTAGTGTTTTAGATAATTGAATTACTAGAAAACTGTAATAGTTCAGATTATGTGTTGATATTCAAAGTTAATCTGTGTAACAAAGTTACTAGTTTGTAAACAAACTGCATTATAAGTACAATTGTAATATATAATGCAGGAGATAGTATAGGAGAAAAAAGGAATTAACTTGAGCAACTGATGAGAAACAACATAAAAAAAATGAGTTTAGATCCTTTTTCATATAATTTACAATGAATAAATTTACATGGATTAAAAAAGAAAATACAAAAAGGGAAAAGTACAGAAAAATAAAATGGAAATTTTGATCTCTGCAAAGAGAAGATTTTTTTCCAGGAATAAAAGTTATAAAATAAATTACAAAGGAAATGATGGGCAAATTTGGCTAAATAAATACTTAAAACATAAAAGGAGAGGAAACATTCTTGGAAAATATTATAAACATTAGAAATAATTAGTTAACTATCACTTGGTGAATTTTTAAAAAAAAAAAAAACAAGAAATCTTAGATTCCCAATAATTTTGTGAAGAAACACAGTTATTTAATAGGTTTGGGAGAGAACATTCAAACTTACTATATGTTAAACTGAAAAATTAAGTAATGGTATGCCGTTTTATTAGCAAGAAGAAAAAGAATTGATTTGCTAACTAAGATGTGATCAAAGGACACTTAAAACTTGCAGATGGTACACTAATGTGGTTAGGAGCTCTGGTAGCCTAGTACCTAAAGCACTTGACTGCTAAGCAGAAGGCTGGCGGTTCAAACCCACCAGCCACTCCTCGGAAGGAAAGTTGGGCAGTCCTACATCTGTAGTGATACTACCTCGGAAACCCAAGGAGGGGTTGCTATGAGTCGGTTCCAACTCGATGGCATATAACAACAACAAACACTAATGTGGTTACATCTCTATTGGAGAGCAGTTTAACTTTTTTTTTTTTTTAATGTGCCTTATTCATGATTGCCAAGAAAATAATATTAGAAGAGTTTTATTTTGAATTGTGAAACAAACACATGCCACCTATAGAGAGTGGTCAGGTGAATGTAAGTCTTGACACATCTTTTTATGGGCTCTTAGGCCACTGTTGAAAATGCTTCTAAAACTTAATATAACAGGAAAATGCAGGTGAAATAGAAAAGTATATATGCAAACTTAAAAAAAAATTTTGAGAAAAAACACTACCTGGAAATAAAACAGAAAAATAAATTGTATAAATTGGTATATTTTTTTAGTCTTTTTGTCTGAAATCTGCCCAAGTACTGATATTGCAAGGAAAATAAGTTAATACATTTCCCGCTCATTATTACGTAATTTTATTTTCTGATTTGGGTGAAAATGTACAGAACAAATTGATTTTTCCACTTAATGATTCTTACTCATTTTGTTTTCTAACATAGATTATAATCCCGTTGTATAATTAGACTCTTTCCACTTCCTCCCTCTGTTGCATTCGTGTGTGTCCTTCCCTATCCGTTTGTGCCTCCTCAGCTTTATTCCCTGGACAAATGTTCATCTTCTGGTTTCATATGGTTGATTGTTTTGTGGTGGTTTGTAGTGCATACCTCCCTGATGCCTTTATGTTATTTGGCTGAAAGTTGTCTAAGGGCCTTAGTCTAGGCTCTAGCAGACCAATACGCCTGTTCTTTTATATTAAGTTAAGTTGTATTCCAGATTTTCTCCCTCTCAAACCAGGACCTTCTATTGTGATCCCTTTTAGTGCTGTTGACAATGGTAGTTGGTTACCATCTAGTTTTGGTCTCAGAATCATTGAGGCTGGAGTTTGTATGGTAGATTAAGCCTTTGGACTAATTGTTTCCATGTGTCTTTGATTATCTTCACAATTCTTTACTCTGGGAAGACACCAATAGTAGATGTCGGGTCACAAGCTTTTAAGATCCCAGTTATTACCCACCCACATACGATATGGAGCGTTGTCTTTGTGGATGATCTTGGTGGCCCCTAATACTGTAATTTTGAGGCCTTCCCCTGTCCCCCAGGGCCAAGGACTCATTCCCTCAGTGTATTTGGTTATGGCTAAGAAGTTTCCATAACTTTGCCTTCTCTGTGCTCTACTATATTCATGGATATATTTGGAGCATACATAAATAACCTTTGTAGAAATATCCTTTGTCAAACTTACATATATATTTGTGGGTGTAGTCCCATTTGCCTTCCCAAAACTGTTTAGCTTGTGTGTCATAGATTACTGTTACTACTTTTATTGCAGGATTGTGTATGTAATAGCATTTACCACTGTTGCCTTTAAATCTTGTTCTCCTCCCAGCATCTTTCTTTGCCTTGATTATTTTGTGCTGATCTCCCTCTTACTGTGCATTGTCTTTCCCTTCACCCAAGTTAATGTGTGTCTACCCTTTAGTTCGTGATCTACCTTTCCATCCCCTCTCACCCCTGGTAATCTTCAAAGAATCTTTCTTTCTGTGTGTAAACCTTTTCTTGACTTTTTATAGCAGTGGTCTTAGTATTTGTCTTTCTGTGGTTGACTAAAGCATAATGGCCTCCATTATAAGGTGTTCTGCAGATTCATCATTCTTTAACATTGGTTGCATGGTATTCCATTGTGTGACTGTTCTGTAGTTGTTTATCCATTCATCAGCTTTTGGGAACTTAGATTGTTTCCATCTTTTTGCTCTTACGAATAAAGCTATGATGAACATGGGTATGCGTATATGTAATGTGAATAATGCTACAATGAACATGAGTGTTCTTGTCACAGCTTTTATTTCTCTAGGATATATATCTAGTACTGGCATTGCTGGATTATATTTCTAACTTTTTAAGGACATACAGCTGAGTTTTGTTATACTGTTTTACACAATGGTTGGCCATTTTGCAGTCCCACTAGCAGTGTATGAGGTTTCCAGTCTCACCATACACCTTGCTAGTATTATTAATATCTTATTTTTATTTTATATCATTATTGTTTTGATTTGCATCTAAGGGCTAATGATCATGAGCATTTCTTTGTGTTTGTTGGCTGCTGAAGTCTAGCCATTTGACTGAGAAGTCCCCATAGGATAGGATGGAAAGGTAGATCACGAACTAAAGGGTAGACACACATTAACTTGGGTGAAGGGAAAGACAATGCACAGTAAGAGGGAGATCAGCACAAAATAATCAAGGCAAAGAAAGATGCTGGGAGGAGAACAAGATTTAAGTCGGGTCCAACCGGTACATAACAACAACATAATTATTGTGGAGTTGTTTATTTCTTCTTTCAATTCTGTTAAAGTTTGATTTATGTATTTTAGGGCTCTTTTATTGGGGTATAGATATTTGTAGTGGTTATAACCTCAGAAATTAATTTGATTGCCATTTACTTGATAATATGTTCTTCTGTCCTTTGATTTTTAGCTTATTTTTGTTTTGGTGTCTGAAGTGTGTGTCTTATGGATTGCATATTAGTGGATTATGTTTTATCCATTCTGCTACTCTCTGTCTCTTGACTGGTGCATTTAATCCATTTACATTCAATGTGTAATTACCGATAGGTATGTATTTACTGCTGTCATTTTGCTCCTTTTTTGGTGCAGGTAAGGCTGATAGTTTCTTTGTTCCATAAATTTTTCTGTGCTGAGTTTATTTTGTTTATGGAATTTTTTTATCCTTTAATTTGTTGTTTTAGTGTTTACTGAATCTTTATGACTTCTTTTATATTTTGGTGAGAAGGTTTAATTTTCTTTGAGATTACCTTGTAATTTATTACTATCTTCCCAAGTTTAAAGCAGTCTATTCTATCTTTTTATCGTCTTGACTTCCTCTATAGTTGGACGTTCTGTAAGTACACCATTTATTTGCTCTTTTTGCTTTGTAGTTTTCATCATTTACAAATTGACATCTCTGGTTTCCTATTTTTAGTCTTACAGGTTTATTTTCTGGTAGCACTGTGGTTAAAGCATTGGGCTGCTAACCAAAAGGTCAGTGGTTCAAACCTGTCAGCCACTCCATGGGTGAAAGATGAGGCCATCTCCTTTCATAAGATTTACAACCTTGGAAACCCCATGAGACGGTTCTGCTCTGTCCCTTAAAGTTGCTGTGAGCTGGAATCACCTTGATGGCAGTGGGTTTGGTTTGGGTTTTACTTATATATAAATAGTTAGTTATTGTTGTTAACACTAACAATAAATTGTTAGTGTTATTTCCCTGTTCTCTTTCTTTTCTTTTGTTAAATTCACCAGTGGTTTATAAATTTTATTAATTCTTTTAAACAACGAACTTCTAGTCTTAATTCTTACTATTGTTTTTCTGTTTTCATTTTCTGATTGAGTCTTTATTATTTCTTTTTTTCTGGTGACTATTGATGTTTGTTTCCAGATGATGATGATGTGTGTCTTAGTGTATCTAGTTGTTGTCTGCCATTGTTGGTTCTCTGTCTGAAGGACGGACTCCCTTTTGCATTTCTTCTAAGGTTGGTTTGGTTTTTATAAATTCTCTTAACTTCTGTGTATCTGGGCATGCTATAATTTTGCCCTCATACTTGAGGAACAGTTTTGCTGGATATAACATGTGGTTGATGCTTTTTTTCTTTCAGAGTTTTACATTGCCCTCTTGCCTGCATGATTTCTGCTGAGAAATCAAAGCTTAGCATTATTCATTCTCCTTAGTTGGTAACTTTTCATTTATCCTGAGTTGCTTTCAAGATTCTTTCTTTTTGGTTTTGGCAAATTTGATTATGATATGTCTTGGTGACTTTCTTTTGAGGTCGATCCTATTTAGGGTTCATTGAGCTTCCTTAATGCTTATCTTTCCCACCTCATGATATTAGGGATATTTACTTCTAATATCTCTTTGATAGTTTTCTCTGCCTTTTTTAGTCTCTGTTCTGGAATTCTAATCTTAAGTAATTCACAAAGTCAGCCTTTTTTTTGTTTGTTTTTCTCCTTTTCCTCTAACAGATTAGTAGTAAGAGATTTGTCTTTGTTGTTATTGTTATGTGCCGTTGAGTCAAATCTGAATTTCTAGAGGTTTCTTGTTATTTAATTCTAGCAAGGAATTAAATTTGTTATTGTTGTAGTGACCCCTCCTTGGGTTGCCTTGCAAGGGGAGGCAGTATCACTACCGGAAGTAGATTGCCCCACCTTCCTTCCAAGGAGTGGCTGGTGGGTTTGAACTGCCAGCCTTCTGGTTAGCAGTCAAGTACCTTAGGCACTATGCTACCAGAGCTCCCAACAACAGCAACAACAACAACAGCAATGGTAAGAGATTTGTCTTTAGTTTTGCTAATTCTGTCTTCTACTGATTCATTTCTACTGCTTTGCCTTTCTCAGGTGTTACCTATCTATGGAGTTTTAGTATTAATCTTCTAGATTTCTTTTTGCTGATTTTCTGTTTGTTTTGTCAGTTTGTTCTTTTATTGTTTTTGCTGAATTCTAGTTTTGTCTGTTTTCTTCAGCTTTGTCTACGATTTCCTGGCTGTTGTCTTTGTTTTCCTTGATCTCTTTCTTAATCTGATGGAGGGCTGGCCCTAAGTGTAATTAATTCTTTGAATTCCTCATCAGGTATTTCCAATACTGTTTCTTTATCCAGGTTTTCTGGCCCTGTTTGGTGGTCATTTGTTTGATCCATCCTGTCCTTTATAGATTTGGATATGATATAACCATGTTGATAAGATAAATATTATTTGGAGTACATGAGAACAGAATTTTCATTTAGTGGTTTTCTCCATAATTCAAAATAGAAACCAGATGACAGTAATCAAATGAATGTCAGTTCAGCCAAAATTTTTATTTAGGATACGGATTCTTTAAAATAGTCTAAAATTATTTTTAATTTACAGAACAGTTTTGCTTTATATTCTCAAGATTAGAGGTTGATAGTCAGTGACTGTTCTTGAGATAAATGCCTTTTGCATATTTGAGAGATTTATAAACCTAATAAAGTGGATGGGAAAGTGACTTTGTGTACCTGTACTGCTGGAGCCTGGAGGAAGAGGGACCAGTGTATGAGAAGTGTGCACCAACAGTGGATGGTGAAGTGTGCCACAAGACAAGTACAAGGTGCTCTTTTGAGACCTCACTTCTAATAAGAGTAGACAACCAGGAAAGACTACATGATGGAGGTGGTAGTGGTATTTGAATTGATTAGGAACATGATAGGATTTCAGTAGCTATAAGGCAACCCAGGTAGAGAGCATGCTTGAGGTAAAAGCAAAAGAAACAGGAATGTTTCTTTGCTATTCAGGAAGTGGAAGGTTACACAAATTGAAATGACTCCAAGCGGGATGAAAGGTGTAATCTTACTCAGTTAATGAATGCATAGTATGTACCTGACATTGTCGTTTTAGTTATGTGTGATAAAGCTAAAAGGGGATGCAGATTTTTTAAAAATCTCTTGGACGGCAGCTAAAAGTGTTTTGACTTTTTTTTTTGAGTTTTAAGGAGCCAATTAAGGAAGTAATGACAACTAATTATATTATGTGTTACGTTAATTAATAATAATAACTGTGTCAGGAACTGTTGTTAGCGCTTTATGTGGGTTAAGTTTTTTAATCCTCATAACACTTATGTGAAGAAAAAAACAACTTAAGGCTCAAAAGAATTTAATTACTTGCCCAAGGTCACAAAAAGGGCCTACAATGGAAACCTAGCAGTTTGTCTCCAGAGTCCATACTCTTAACCAGAAAAACAAATCTGGTATTAGTGTGAGGAATTAATTAGAAGATGGACGCTGTAAGCAGAGAAACCAGTTACAACTAGATTTATTATGACTGTTACCAAAATTTAAGGAAAAAAAAATAGAAAGCAGATAAAAAGTAGAAGCAGTTAAATGGAGGAAAAGGGGAAATCCATTCTCGGCTGACTCCTGAGCTTCTAAATGTATGTATTCATCCAGTCTAGGGCAGACCAATTCAGTATCCTGAAGTGGTCTGTTAGGTCTTTGATAGCCTAAAAGGTTCAAGGGAGTGGATTATGATTGCTGGTATTGCATCTGGCTTTTTTGATATACCCTTAGTGGTTTGGTAACTTAAGGATGGAACAGTGTATAAGTAGTAGAAGTTTGGAATTTGATGGTCTCAAAGTTTACTGTGGCATTATAGTATAGGCTACAAGTGGAAAACTCAGGACTAGATTCATTAGATCCGCTTATTCTGTCTTTGTAACCAGAAGCTCTAGGTTGGACTAGAAATGCAAAGGGATATAGTGACACCCCCCAAAAAAAGCCCATCCAGCTTTGTGGAGTTGATTTCAGCTCATGGTGACTTCACGTGTTGTAAACTATGAGCTATGCGGCAAAGTTTTGAAGGCTGTGATCTTTCAGAAGCAGATTGCCGGGCCTCTCTTCCAAGGTGCCTCTGGGTGGGATTGAACAGCTAAATTTTGGGTTAGTAGTCAGGTGCTTACCTTTTGCGCTCTGGGACTCCAGTATAATGAGAATGCTCTTCAAATAGGTATTGAAACTGATAATTTTCCTGACTCAAGCTAAATGGAAATCAACCATAAGACACAAGAAAGAATATTGTCTAACCTGGTATACTTTGCTTTATTGGTATATTCGTATGAATTCTTTCTAAATGAATAAGACAATACTTAATAACTTTTATTTCCCCTTATAGAACAGCATTCACGTGTTCATTTTGTAAATTTCGAACGTTTGAAGAAAAAGATATAGAACTGCACCTGGAAAGTTCTTCACATCAGGCAACATTAGATCATATTCAGAAACAAACCAAATTTGACAAAGTAGTTATGGAATTTTTGCATGTAAGTAGTTGAAATGAGAAGCACATTTGAATTCCTTAGAATTTTTTCAGAACAGTTCCCCATCCCTCTCCAATTTTATGTCTCTAAGATTTTAAAAGAAGAATTGTTTTAAAATAAACCCAGTATTAGATGTGAATTCCTCTCTAATGGAATTTGAATTTGTTATTTGAGAAAACGTTTTACATTTTTCAGTGATCGCTGGCAGAGATGTTAGCGTGGGAATTCCTTTAATAACTGTTTGTTGATAAACAGTCAACTTCCATCTTATGAGTGTCTACTGTGTATCAGGAGTTGGTTGTACTTGGTACTTCGATTTATTGTTTCATTTGAGTCTCATGACAACTCGTTAAATCTGACAACTCGTTAAATCTGAATTCAGAGCCAGAGAGCCTGGTGTTTGCTCACTGGCCTTTCTGTTATGAATGTGTTGTCATCAGTTGAACAGTTTTTCTTGTATACCTATGAAAGGTGCTGTGTCAGACACCGAGGACACAGACACCACCCTCAATGAAGTAACAATTGGAAATAGAATATATTGACACATACACAGGTGACACAAGTAAGTGAAAAGCTAAGCATGCATGGTATAGATAGACATATGTCATACATAGGAGTTTGGAGAAAGGGGGAAGATACATTGGGGGCAGGAATGCTTGAAGGAAAGAGCTTGAGCTAGATTGCTAACTTTGTGTGTAGTTAATTTGGGCAGAAGAGATGTAATAACATGGTAGTGAGAACTATACTATAATCCCACCTCTATATCCTTGCAGAATTGTGTCCAGTGATTCAAATTTCTTTCTGTAATTTCCTTAACTGGTTCTTATTTGTCACTTAGAACTTAAACACCCACCTATCCTGACAAGACCTCTTGTTCATTCCAGCTCTCTTGGATCTTTTTCTGTGTGCCTAAAGTACCTTTTGAAAAGGGAATGATTTTTATTCTATTTTTTTATGATAGTCTTTTCTGTTAAGTTTTAAGCTCCTTGAGAATAGACAATGGTCTTCATACTCTTTTTTTTTTTCCCATAGAACCATTATGGGTCTAAGCATATGCTAAGTACTCACTGAGAGCTTTGGGATTCTGATCTATAATATCTCCTTGTTTTGTTTTCTAGGAATGTATGGTAAATAAATTCAAGAGAACGTCTATCCGAAAACAACAGACAAATAGTCTAACAGAAGCAGGCAAAATAATCGACAAAGATGCTATGGAAGGTAAATAGTTAAATAAGTTGCTTTAGAAATCCTGTATATATTTTACCCACCATAATGTGGTTCAAACCCACCAGCCACTCCTCGGAAGGAAGGTTGGGCAATCCTACTTCCGTAGTGATACTGCCTCGGAAACCCAAGGAGGAGGGGTCGCTATGAGTCGGGTCCGACTCGACGGCACATAACAACAACAACAACAGTGTAGTTCAGTGTAAATGATGCTCCCTAGAGTGGTAAAGGGCATAGTCAAATGTGGTAACCCTGAATGGGTTATCAGAAATTACATCTTTGACTTCCTGTTCTTGTGCTTACAAATTTATCCTTACCTATCCTTATCTCCTTTACTTCAGAGAAAAAGTCTCTGTTTTCCTCTGTCTCTCTCAGTTCCTCTCCTCTTCTTAAGGATTTTTGCTCAAATGAAAACTTGTGTCTTCTGTTTTTCACTCTTCTCTTTTTATTCCTTCTCTGAAGTTTATAAGAAACAACATATTAAGTCCATTATGACTCATGCCGACACTGTGTGTATCAAAATGGAACTAGAACTTCAGTGTTTTGATTACTGAGTGTGTTATGTGTACTACCTAGGGACTCCTTGAAGCCATAAACATGCTCTTATTATTATTAAAAAAGAGAAAACAAAAAACGGGGAAAGAAAAAAACAGATTCTAGTTCCCCTAAAAGCTTTTTGCCTTTTCTTTTTTTTCTTTAAACAACCCAGCTTCTATAAGTTGTGGTACACACTCGTGTCTGTTTCCTTACTTCTCATTTATTACTTTTCCCACAGTAGACAATTTTCTGCTACCATCAGTTTGATGAAACTGCTCACAGAGGTTACCAGCACCAACTTCAGTAGATTGTTTTGGATCATCTTATTTCTTGCAACAATTTTCGACAGCTGCATTCCTGGTGCATCTCTTTACTTTCTTGGTTTCTGTGACACCTCTCTGTCCTGATACCCTCTTTATCCCCTTTTCACTTTTCAGTCTTTTGGCTTTTCTTTCTGTATCATTGCTTTAAAAGTTACTATTGCCCAGTACTCTGTCATTAGCCCCATCATCATCATCTTGATTAATTCATTTACTTGTAGTAATTAATATCCATCGACGAAAGCCAGAAATAAGGATTTATTCTAGGTATAGAGCACCTTGGGAGACAGTCCTGGTGATATGCTTTCGAAAAATTACAGCCTTGAAAATCCTATGGAGCAGTTCTACTTTGCACCATGAGTTGGTATCACCTTGACGATTCACAGCATATCTGGAACACTTATCCTATCAATTCTCTTTTTAAAATATTTACCAAATCTGTTTACCTTCCTTTTAATACTGCATTTGTTCAAATCCATTTCTTGTCTTGACAGTTTATTATCTTAACTGGTTTCTTAATTTCCAGTCTTTCTTATCTCCAGTTTTATGTGCTTTTATTATTAAAGAACTTTGAATGGATAAAATACAAATTCCTAGGTATGACACACAGATCTCTTTGTCCTTTCTTTATACTGCGGTCATACTGAATTGCTTGCAGTTACCAGAAAGTATCATTTTCTTTCATGCTTTTTCCCTTGTATATATTAGTATCTTTAACTGCAGTAAACCCCCATCTCTTTAGATCCAACACATGTTGTTCTTTATGAGTCCAATTCTGATATCTTTTCCCCATTTCTTACCTACTTTTATTTATAATTAGGGAACTTCTTATTTTACTATAAAATAATCCATCATATGTTTTATTTTATGTTGTAGTTTTGAAGAAATTGAGTTTATAAAAAGCCTTAGAGCATAAGTGTATAACATGATTAGGAAATAAAATGTAATTATTCTTTATAACTTCTAATCTGCTGTCCATTTATATTTAATCTATATATGCACATTTACAAGATGTGGTAGAAAAACTTAAACCTAATGCTTTGATCCCTTTTTTGGGGGTGAGGTGGGGGGGTGGGAAGTAAGATTATAAATAATCATGGAAACTTTAGTAGTGAAAACATAACCTGTCAGAAATAAGAATATGTGAATCATTACTTTTCTTTAATAATAGGATTTCTCACTTAGGTGTTACTGCAGATGATCACATGATGAGAGTAGAGACTATTCACTGTAATGCCTGCAGTGTATATATCCCTGCTTTACATAGTTTAATTCAGCAGCACTTGAAATCTCCTGATCATATCAAAGCAAAGCAGGTAAGTTTGATGTGTCTGATTATCTAGCAGTCATTTATTATCCTTTGGCCATTGTTTCACATCTACCTATTTGCATGTAATTTCTCTTAATCTCAGATAGTTAGAAGAATACTCAGGGAATGTAGCATAGTGATTAAGGTGGGATGCTCTGGAACAAGACTTCCTGGATTGAATCCTGGCTCAGTACACAGTGCATATTAAACAAGTAAATTAACCATTAATTTTCAGTATGCTTAGCTATAAAATAGGAGTTCTGGTGGTATAGTACCTGAGGCATTTGACTACTAACCAGAAGGTTGGTGGTTCAAATGCACCAGCCACTCCTTGGAAGGAAGACCGGGCAATCTACTTCCATGAAGATTTACTGACTCTGAAACCCAGAGGGGGTCGGTATGAGTCAGAATCCACTCGATGGCAGAGAGTTTGGTTTGGTAGCTATAAAATGGGGGTGGGAATAATTACTGCCTTATGTGTTTGTACTTAAAATAGTACCTGGCACATAGTGAGCATTTAGAAATCATAGCTTGTTATCATTAACATTTTTTTTTTTAAGTTGGCATAAAATGGTTTTATGAGTGTGTGTATGTGTGTTTAAGAGCATAAAGTAAAGAAAATTGACAGTTGGATATGACTGATATATTTTTTTGATACTTTGGAAAAACATTTGAAAACTAGCATTACCATTTACCATCGTTACTCTTTTTCAGTTAAATCTCTGGGGGGATTTTATGATTTTCTTTTGATAAGCATATTTTTGTGTCTGTATTAGCTGTATTTAAGTAGTCAAACTTATTTTAAACAAAGCTTTTCTTTTTTAATTGTGATTTGGGTGGAACTTAACAGCGCAAATTCATCTTCCGTATAGCAGCTCACTTTGTTTTATGACATTGACTGCAATCTCTCACAATGTAATAGCTCTCCTCCCACATCCTACTCATGGCCACCTCTTCCCTGTATCCTTCTCTCCCATGCAGTCCTGCCCCCGAGCTGTCTCCCTCTGCACACATAGCCCTTCTGTTCTGCCGTGATTGATCTTTCCAAGGAGTGTATCTGCCTAATGTAAATGTTCAGCTCATATGCTTGTCTTTTGACAAAACATGTGTTTATATTACTGAGAATTAGATTGCTTGGAAAGACAATTTAAAACTTCAATTATTAAAAACTTAAGTTCTTTTTAACGGGGTATACCTGAATCTTAAATTCATAGTTATGCTGAAGTGAAGCTCAGTTAGCTCACACTCCTAGGCACTTCCAACACATACAGACTTTTAAAAATCTTTGTTTTTTCTCTTGTAGAACTTTTTAATATTCACTTGTCATTTTGCTAACTAGACATTCTGTATCGTTACCTTTTCTCCTTTATATCATACAGGCTTGTGATAACTACAGCCCAGAGGAAGACTAATTACTCACGCAGTGTGAAAAATTACTCTTTTTTGATAGCATGAAAATTAGTAGTTGGAGTTGTTGGGGCCTGGTCAGGTGGTTGTAGATGGAAAGGGGAGAAAGCAATTCTCCAGTAGACCTACACTTTTATTATTGGGGACTGGGTATTTTTTTTATTAAAGTTGATTGGTTTATGGAATAGTCATTGTTTTAATCCTAAAATAATTTAGATTTTGGTCACACTGTAGCTGTTGTTTCTATATAGCTTAATCTGCCAGAAAATAAAAACATTTAAATCTAAAGGATTTGAGCATAAAATGCCATTTTAATTAGGCACAACTACCATCGGTGTGTTCTATTTTCACAGGCTTATAAGGAACAAATAAAAAGAGAGAGTGTGTTGACTGCTACAAGCATTTTAAACAATCCAATAGTGAAGGCACGGTATGAACGTTTTGTTAAGGTAAGAATTTAGGACAAAAATCTTTTAGGTAATATTGTAGTATTTCACCAATTAAATGGTGACATAGTAAATGCTTATTAGATTTAAGTATAATACAATATATTAGGAAAAATTTTACTTAGTCTCTTGCTATAGGTAAAGTATTTCTTTTCCTAATTGTTGGGATTTTGTTGGAGGGATGGGGTGATAAGTGAATCTTCTCCTCTCCTTTACAGCTCTGACTCAATTAAGATTGGAATCTGATAATAAGATGAAAATGACGGCTTTATTCTTGCTTCAAAAAAATAATAGCATGGCTTGGAGGCTATGTTTCAGGTGTGCAGTTACTATGGACTTTCTAATACTTCTTTCCTGAATTGGATAGACTAACTTCCCCCCAAACCCTGTCGCTGATCCACCTGGACAAAACAGGCTTCCCATAGTTTATCACATGGCATAGAACAGACTAGAATGAATCCTTTCTGTGGCTAGGAATACACAGAAGAGAAGCTAAGGAACTGAGAGATACATACCCAGCTTCTTCTTTGAAGCACACTGATTGGATAATCATAGATCTTTTCTTGAGTAAAAGTTGGAGGGGAGGCAGGAGACACTTTGCCATATAGAAAAAGATGCCTAGTGGAATCAGGAGGCCAGAGGAAAGGTTGTTTCTTCCTAATGTTAGGAAACTCAGATTTGATGGTAGGTATGTGTAGCTTAACTATGCCTCAGGGTTTTAATACTTGTGAACTTTTTTCTTTCTCCCCATATGACAGTCATACTCTTTATATTTCCTTCATAAGAGAAATTCCATTTGCGTCCAGTTACAGGACCAAGATGGGAGATTCTAGGGGGAAAAAAACAAGATCCTCTTCATGAAGACATTTGCCATACAACTGCAAGATTTCTTATTTTCTTTTGAACATTTCTTGTATAAACAGGAAATTAACTATTACTCAGGAAATTCATAGAAATTAGAGGTTTTTGAGTCTTCATAAAATAATACCCTACTTAGAATTATTTCTACACTGAAGAGGGAGCTGTTATGTTAAAGATTTTAAAAAATCTGTTATTGGCATCAGCAATTGAATCTTTATTTTATAGATTAAAGAAGTTTTGTTTATTTTGGCTGTTGATTCATAACTACTCTGTGAAGAGGCCTGCCATGTGACCATTCAGTTTACCCTCAACCAGGTCATCTCTATGCTGGATAATCTCAGTTCTTTCAGCTTGTTCCTTAGGGGCCTATTTTGTAATTTGTTCACTCCATTTCTGATTCTCTTTAAAAAATTTAATGCACTCCTGAATTAAATTTGATTTTGTGTGAGGTATGGATTCAAAATGCATTGGTGGTTTAGTGGTAGAATTTTTGCCTTCTATGTCGGAGACCCAGGTTAGATTCCTGGCCAGTGTACTCCATGTAGAGCCACCATCTTTCTGTCAGTGGTAACTTGTGTTGTTAATATGATATTTAATATGTGGAGCTTCTAGACTAAGATGTACTAGGAAGAAAGTCCTTGTGATCTGCTTCCAGAAATAAGCCAAAAGAAAGCCCTGTGGATCACTGTGCTCCAGTCTACAGCTGATACTGTGGATACTGCAGGAGCAGGCAGTGTTGTTCACTGCTGTTGCGTTTTGCATGGGGTTACCATGAGTTGGGAGCCAACTTGACGACAGCTAACAAGAACATGGCATCCAAAAGATGAGCATTATTGCTAGAATACAAAAATTAGGTTTTTATCTTGCTTTATCATAACCTTTTTAGAAGTTACAGTTTCTGTGGACATATGAAAATAATTTTTAATCTGGGAAGAATGCAAATTAGAATTTCTATATATGGTTTTTAAGCTACTCATGGGAGGCAGTTTGTGGAACAAGTGACATCACTGGTGGGAGTATCATGCTTATGTATATATTATGGAGAATACCTGAGTACTCCTCTAAAACCTTGTTATTCTGAATGTAATCCAGGAATCACTGTATTGGCATTACCTAGGAGCTGATTAGAAATGAAGAATTACAGGTTATACCCAGGCTTACTGAATAAATCTTATTTTAACAAGATGCCTCTTGATTGATGCATAGTAACATTAAGATGCACTGATATAGATCATTATGTCACATTACTTGGTGACTTTACTTTGTTCACCATTCCTGTTTCCTCTGTCCTCTGCAATTTATTCCTCATCATTTGCCTCATGGTCAACTCTGGTCATGACTTAAAACTCTTCTACTTTCAAATGTTCTAAGTCTGACAAAATAACCTTTTAAGCCTTTGTTCTCATCAAGATAATCATTTTGTCATTTTCTCCTAGTTCTCCCTGCCATCCCATATACTCAAGCCCGTCCCGCCATTCTAAACTACCTTACTCCTTTGTTGTTCCACTTTCCAAACCCCAGCACTGCCATCTGTGTTTAGTTTTATTAACTATGTTGTGTCTTGCTAAAAATAGGAACTGTGCCAGTCCAGTATTTGCCAGCTTTTCACAATTCACAATAATTTTTATTACTAGCTATCAGTGTGATGTGTTTCCTATTATGACTTAACCAAACCTTTTTCATCCCTTTTGTATCCCAAATTTCATCCTTACTCCCCTCACTTCACTTCCCGTATCCTTACCTCTACTCATTAATGAGTTTGAGACCGTTTGATGTGAGCTATATAACTTTTTTCCTTTCTACTTTAGATTTCCCTATCTTTCCCTAACTCCCAGTATCATTGTTGTCTATGAAGGAAAATAATATTGTTTCTTCTTCTTTCCTGTTTATCTGTATTCTTGTTTCATCAGTTACCTCCAATTACTTGCATCTGAATTTTTTCCTGTTTATTATTTTTCTATTCATCCCCAAACAGACTTGCTTGTAAGTTCCCTCCCCTAAAAATGACTTTTTGTAGATGCTAAACCAAACTCGGTGCCGTTGAGTCAATTCAACTCATAGTGACCTCTCCTTGGCTTTCTGAGGTGGTATCTACGGAAGTAGATTGCCCAGCCTTCCTTCCGAGGAGTGGCTGGTGGGTTTGAACTACCGGCCTTCTGGTTAGGCACTACGCCACCAAAGTTCCTTCTCTTCTGCCATCATACCTGAAATACTTACCCTTCATTGTGTCCTATATTCTCTTTATGTAATTTACTCTTAAACTTAGTAGTTCTTTGCTGGAGACATGTGTCCCCTATGAGGCTAAAATCAAATAAAAAGTTGCCTGGGTTCTTCCTCGAGCCTTCTGAATCAGCGTTTCTCAGATTTCCCTGATAAATATCTCTTAAAAGTGTTTAAAATATATAGGTACCAGGCTTCTCCCCTGGAAATTATGGATCAGGAGGTCTGAGATTGATTCACAAATTTTTAGCAAGGGCTCTGGTACTAGATTAAATTAAATACAAGGGCCTGTGGTATTTTTGAAGGAACTTCATTCACAGAGATAAAAGGATTCATTCTTGGGTAACCATTGTCTGTCTCCCACTTGCATCATACTTGTAAAGTAGTTCTGAGATTAACAGTGGTGGTCTAATTAGCGAATCTAAACTTCTTATTGTTTATTATTTTGAACATACAAAAGGAGAGGAAATAGTATCATAAATCCTCAAAAAACCATCACTCAGTATCACTTGCCATCTCTAATAATCTTTTACAGTCCTCCTGTTCACTTCTTTACATCATTGGACAGTGTCCATCACTTATTCTTGAAACTTTATTTTGCCACATAATTTAGTATCCTGGGTTTTCTCCTACATTGAGTATTCCTTTTCTTTTAAATTTTGTCCCTGTGTTACAGGCATTTTCATAGGATTTTGTTCTTGGCTTTTTTCTCCTACTCCCATCCCAGTACTATCTCATTTAAGACCCTAGCTTTGCTCTTCAAGCTTTGCAAGCACTTCACAAATCTAAATGCCTTACTTTGAACTCCCTTTCTCTTGAATTGTAAGCTTACATTTATAGCTACCCATTGAGACATTTAGACGGTATCTTAAATTTTAATTATCTATAGTATACACCTTCTTTCATTTTCCTCATCCTAATTTAACTCTTTCTGTTAATGGTGTCACTACATCTTTTAAGCTTTTCTTTCCAGGGCTGTTAGTGCAGTGCCCTTGCTAGTATTCCATCTCTTGCTACTCCGGTTCATCCTGCATGTTCCTACCCTGTTCCTCATTTTTTTAGTACATTAATACAGCTTTCTGTTATGGTTCAACATATATGCGACTTAATCTAGATACATAATTTAAATATAATGAAATAGCATCTATTAATGTTTAGTGAGTAAAAGATTTGTCTGCTTTTTAAATGTGAAAATATAGGTGTTATAGAGTACCTGGTTTTCATTTGAATTTCAAAAAGATCTTGCAGTAGTTGTACATTGAATTAAATTAATCAGTTTATGAAGTATATGGTAATCACTTCAGTAATTTATTTATCTACATTGATATGAAATAGGTGCTTAATACATGTTTAATGGATATATCATAGTTAGACTTAAAAGCTTCAGACAGTATTTATTTTTAAATGATACAGCAAATAAAAAGTTAACTGATACAAAAATGAATGTACTGATTTTAAAAGTTACTTCTCATGTTTTTAGGGTGAGAATCCTTTTGAAATTCAAGATCATTCTCAGGATCAGCTAGGAGATGAGGAAGAAGAAGAAAAGATTGATGAACCTATTGAAGAAGAGGATGATGAAGAGGAGGAAGAAGAGGAGGAAGTGGAGGAAGTGGAAGAAGTAGAGGAAGTTGGAGAAGTAGAGGGAGTAAGGGAAATAGAGGGAGTGGTGGAGGTAGGGGGAGCTGGAGAAACAGGGACAACTGAGGAAGATGTGGGAACTGGGGAAGATAGGGGAGCTGAGGAAATAGGGGGAACTGGGGAAATACAGGGAGGTGGAGAAGTAGAGGGGGCTGAGGAGGTAGAGGGAGCGGGAGAAGTAGAGGGGGTAGAGGGAGTGAAGGAAGTAGAGGAAGAAACAGCGAAAGAAGAGCCTGTCATCTTCTCTGTTGATCAGACTGAAGAAAATTAAATATATGGAATTTAAATGGAGCTTTAATTTCTTTTGTGTTCCTAAGTGGAAAAGAGTAAGAATTTTAATAGCTTAAAATGAATCAACACCTATGTTGCATGCATTCCACACGTTAAAGTTTGTTTTATATAATTTTTAAGTGTTTGGCATTTGTTTAATAAAATAAAAGTAGGACAACTTTTGTTTGGTTTTTATAGCTATAAAACTTAGATCTAAATAATTGTATAATTTTTAAGCTTAATTTTGATTATTGATGTTAAAGATAACAGATATGTCCTGTTAGTATATCTATTCTAATCATTTGAACTTAAATGCTGCTCTTGGGAGTAAATATTCAAGTGTGCATTAATTTTTTGAATACTTAGCCTGGAAGAGAGAAATTGGGCAAGTATTTTGTGCTCTGAGTGTGTATTTTTTTACTGCGTTGGACCTTGAATAGTAATTTGGGTTAAGATACGCTTAAAGGCTTTTTGTGACCATGTTTCCCTTTGTAGCAATAAAATGTTTTATACAAAGACTTTCTCCCTGGATTAGCAGTTTTAAATGAAACAGTTCAGCAGTTGAATGAGTATTAAAAAGAATTATTTCTGTCTTTAAATACTTCTTCTCTTTTACATTTTACAGCTTATATGCTTCTTGTTGTTATGTGCCATTGAATTGGACCTGACTCATAGCGACGACCCCTCCTTGGGTTTCCCAGGTGGTATCACCACAGAAGTAGATTGCCCAACCTTCCTTCCGAGGAGCAGCTGGTGGATTTGAACCGCCAGCCTTCTGGTTCACAGTAAAGTGCCTTAGGCACTGTGCTACCAGAGATCCTGCTCATGCTTACACACTCAGAAAAGAGAAGATGGAATTGATAGGTGGTGGTCATTTATTTTCAAATGAACATCTGTCTCTGCTACTGAAAAGCAGTGCTCTTCTTTAAATCTTTACTCTGGCTAAAGTGGTGTTGACCTTTTGAGATGGAGACTTTTAATGAAGGTTGGCTAATTAAAATTTTGAGGCACTAAAGGGATTGATATGTGGGTATATTAAATAATTTCAAGACACTAAATGGATGAATGTATTGACATTTGTAGAATCTTTGATAATTTCTCTTTTTCATACAAGACTTTTGATGATCCTAGTTTTTATCGTTTAAATAAAGGTTTATTGAGGTGAGCTAAATTTGCTTACTTTTAAACTGGTAAAATTCAGTAGGTGCTTATATTCTGTTATAGGGATTTGGAGCCCAAAAGAGCAAAGTTAGTTTAAGACCATATTTACTTAAAGAGGTTTTAGAAAGTCTTTGCTCAGGAGTTAAAATGTTAAGGCTAATAGGATTTAATCAGCTCTCTTGTTTTAAAATATTTGTCAAAATGCTAAAGTAAAATAATAATAGATCCCTTTGGGTTAGAAGGAGCTCTGGTGGTGCAGTGGTCAAAATATATAGCTGCTAAGCCTGTTTGAACCCACCAGTTGCTTTGCAGGAGAAAGAGGAGGCAGTGTTCTTCCATAAAGATTTATAGCCTTGGAAACTTCTGGGGGCAGGTCTACTTTCTGTGTCCTGTAGGGCTGCCAGGAGTCAAATGGTAGGTTTGGTTTGGTTTTGGTTCAGTTAGAATTTGGTTGTTCTGACAAGCAGGGTTGGGTGGTTTTTTTTAAGTGTCTTACCTAATAACCTGCTTAAGATGCTAAACTTCTGGAGAGAATCCTGTATAACAGCGATCTGTAACACCTTTGGGGTAAATCTTTCAGAATGAGAAGGGAAAGTGAAGAATATTTAAATAGTAACTTGTAGGTTCTTCTTCAGAGATTCTTTGAGGGGGGAAAAAAATGAAAAATCTTTTATACAGACCAGTTTATTTATTTGTAAAGGGTATTTTCTTTTTTTGCTTAATTTAGAAATTCAAATTTATGTATATCCTATTGGATAATATATAGACGGGCAGTTTATTGCAAGCAGATTGATTTTTGTGATACTTAGTGTTTATATTTTCAGTGCATTGTAATAAGGTCTTAATGTAAGATCTTTAATAAGTTTCAACCTCTTTGTGTAGTACTGATTTATTAAAAAGCTAAACATGTAGTTCTGATCAGCCAAAGAAATAAATTTACTACCTATCAGTTGTCCTTAAATATGTTCTGACTCATAGTAACCCCATTGTATCGGAGTATAACTGTGCTCCAAAGGGTTTTTTCAATGGCTGATTCTCAGAAGTACATTGCCAGGTCTTTTCTTCTAAGGACCTGAGTAGACTCTACTTCCAGTCTTTTGATTAGCAGTTGTGCATAGATGACTGCGGGCTGTTCTTTTTATAACTTCCTTCCAGTCTAGGGGCTCTGGTGACATTGGGCTACTAACCAAAAGGTCAACGGTTCTAACTCACTAGCCACTCTGCGGGAGAAAGACGGGGCAGTCTGCTTCTGTGAAGATTTACAGCCTTGGAAACACTATCGGGCAGTTCTCCTCTGTTTTATAGGGTTACTATGAGTCAGAATTTACTCAGTGGCAGTGGATTTGTTTTTTTGGGTTTTCCTCCAGTCTATTAGAAAGTGTAGTCTTTTTTCCTAATATCCACCTACTCTTGTGCTACCAGCCCAGTCAAAGGCACTATCATCTCTTTCCCAGAATATTGAAATTGATTGTTAACTAATCTTGGTTCACTCTCACCCCATTAGACTCAATTTTCCATACACAATTTTTTTATTTGTAAACTTATACATATATCATTCTTTATCAGCTCTCCCTCCATACTAGTCAGGATGATGTCCAAATCCTCTTAGTGTAGCATACGTAGCCTTACGTATTTTGTTCCTTGCCTACCTATCCAGTCTGTAACTCATCAGTCTTAACATACTATGTTGTTAACTGCTGAGAGGCCTCCTGGGAAATAGCCAGACAAGTCTTTTTCACTTTTCCCTTATGGTTTTTCTGAGTTTTTGTTTCCTTTTTTTTTTTTTCCCCCCTCTAGAATAATGTAAAATTGTACATTAAAGGTAGATGTGAGGTAGTGTTGAAGATGACAGTGGGTGTCAATTGGAGATGCATGAATAAGGGAGTATGACACGGCATGGATTGTGGAAGGAGACGATAGGCGGCAGGTGTTTTTAAAAAGTTGATTTGGTGAAAGTGTACAGAGCAAATTCATTTTCCATACACTAGTTCATACACATTTTGCTTTATGACATGGACTGCAATCCGCACGGTGTAACAGCTCTGTTTGCTGTGTCTTCCTTTCCTGTGCATTCTTTCCCCTTGAGCTAGCTGTCTGCAAACAACTGCCCCTCTGTTCTGCCATGATTGATCTTGGTGGCTCTAAGGAGTGTATCTACCTGGTGTAAATGTTCACCTGGTGTGCCTATTGTTTGGCTGGAAGCCACAGGGGTGAATTCAGTTCTAGACCTGAAGGATAACTAGGGGCCATGAGTCTCACCAGGCTGTATCAGACCAGTAAACTTAGTATTTTTTTTTGTGTGTGTGATTCTGGGTTTTGTTCCACGTTCTCCTACTTTATCTCCCAAGCCGATTAGCTCTTAAATGAGAATAAGGTGCTGTGGAAACGTTCTAAGGAGGTTAAAACTTCTTCCTGGGTGGGTAACAAAAGTGAGAATTTTGCTTGGAGGTGTAGGGCAGAGACATGAATGTTTATTCAGAATAGAAACAATCAGGAGAGAAAGGATTTAAAAGATAAAGCAGGTTTACTAACCGTGCCAGAGTGGATTCAAAATGACTGCTAGCTCCCTCCTATTTGTGGGAATACTTAGACCTGAGTTTGAAGAAATGGGAATGGGAGGCTATGTAACTGGCTTCAGACTTGGTGGTGGTGCCTGCCCCAATCTGAAGGGGGTCTTGGGCAGTGCCCTACGACCACCACCCGATGGGGCAGTAGGGGAATACGGGACAAAGGAGGGAGTGAGGAAATGGCTTGTTCTTAGAACCATGGCTAAACAAGACAATCTGAGAGCCAGTTTGGGGGGTTGCAGTTACTGACCATACGTTGTTATGTGCGGTCAAGTCGGACTCGACTCATAGCAACCCCTCCTTGGGTTCCCGAGGCAGTATCTCTACAGAAGTAGATTGCCCAACCTTCCGGCCTAGGAGTGGCTGGTGGGTTTGAACCACCAGCCTTCTGGTTAGCAGTAAAGTGCCTTAGGCACTATGCTACCAGAGCTCCTACTGACCATACATAAGGTATGAATGTAGGAAAATTTCAGATCAAAGTGACCTACTTCAAATCTAAAATCCTAGTAATAGAATTACAGAAATACAATGATAAGGAATTACAGTGATGAAGATAAATTTATAACCACACTAGAAAGGATGCTACCAGTGTTTCTAGAAGATCTAAAATAAGAAATGAGATCTCGGTGAAGCTAAGAATCCTTGAGCTCACAGCTACATACAGATGAAGTTTAGGGATTTACTGCCATTTTTAGAAGTAGCTATTAGCAGGGAGGCCACAGGTAGCACAAATGATTAAGGGTTTGACTACTAACTGAAAGGTTGGCAGTTTGAGTCCACCCAGAGTTGCCTGGGAAGAAAGATCACAGCCCCTGAAAATCCAATGGAGCGTAGTTTTATTGTGACATGCGTGGGTGACGGTGAGTTAGAATCTATTTGAAGGCAACTGACTAAAGGGTGTAGTAAGCCAGGTTTCTAAAGGACTGAGTAATTAGGCCAGTGCCTGGTTCAGAGCTATTGGTCCATAGATAACTCCAGTGTATAGCACAGCTTGCTGTTTGCCATGTAGAATGAGACTTCTGACATGGTGGGTTCCTAGAGCATATATAAGAGCCATAGAAGTATGGCGGTGCCCCAGATGTTTTGTGGCTGCCACAAAGGGCTATAATTCCCCAATTTAGAAGATAAGCAAAAGAAAGGAGAAAACTGGCTATCAGTTTCCCATTTTTCCTGCTGACTGTTCTCCCTCTTCCTCAAACAAATTAGAGGGAAAGAGAATTTTTAACTCAAGCCAAGAACATAAACTAAAGATAATACTGAAAATTCTAGAGGT